AATAAATGGAGTAAAAATCCTTTTCTAGATCGTACACCGCAGGACACCGGAATTTAATGCTTCAATGGATGGGTTATTCAGCTACCTTTTTTAGATGATTGGACATGGGGATATCAATTTAAGCGTAAGACAGCCCTATATTGGCCCTCCCAACCTGCCTCAGTTTTTTACCAAGGTCAGGTGGATAGGACACTGGCAAATGGAAAGGTTGTAAGCCAGCCCCTGTAAAACCCCTCCAGCATGCATTAGGGGAGTCAATGATGGAGGACGATCTGGGTGTACTGGTAGACCCATAGACTCAATAATAGCATTCAATGTCAAGCAGCAGTTTCTAAAGCAAGCAAAATACTTTCTTGTATTAAAAGGGTATAGACTCCAGAGATAGAGACATGATCCTGCCCCTGTACCAAGCATTAGTTAGACCTCATCTGGAATATGCAGTTGAGTTTTGGGCACCAGTTCACAAAAAGGATGTTGTGGAACTGGAGAAAGTGCAGAGAAGGGCAACTAAACTCATAATAGGCATGGGAGAACTCCGCTATGAGGAAAGATTAACTGACCTAAATTTGTTCTCTCTGGAGAAGAGGCGATTAAGGGGGGGACATGATCACCATGTATAAATACATAAATGGTCCATATAGTGAGCTTGGTGCCAAATTATTCACTTTAAGGTCACTGCAAAGGACAAGGGGGCACTCTGCGCCTGGAGGAAAAGAGGTTTAACCTTTGCATAAGGAAAGGATTCTCCACAGAGCTGTGAAAATGTGGAATAGACTCCCCCAGGAGCTCGTTCTTGCTAGCTCAGTTAATTGTATTCCTAAATGCACACAATATTACTAGTTATTGACTTCTTATAGGTATATTAAGCATCAGAGATTGTTGATTCAGGGAATATCCGATTGTCTTATGGGATCAGGAAGGAATTTTTTTTACCTGTTGGAGCAAATTGAACCATGCTTTTTTTTGCCTTCCTCTGGATCAACAGTGGGTAATTGTGGGCATAGCGTTCTGTTTAGGCTTTTTTTTTTTCTTCATATCCCTATAGGCTGAACGCCAGGGACTAACTATGTAACTATGCATTGTTTTTGCTAGTGCCATAGAAGGTTGGATGCCTTTTTTTTCAGCTCTGCTAGCTGTCCTTGCTGTGTGTAATTTTTCTTCAGTTACTGCAATCAAAATTCTTAGGTTCTTTGCACTGGACTCTGCATTGTGGCGATTTGCAGACTTTTGTGTGGTGTTGGCCGTATGCTTATTAGGTCGAGAGTTGTGGCACAGCCCCAGGTGGGACCTTGTCTCTGAAGACTCACTAATTGTGTAAGGCTCACCCTTCTCCTTTAATCTACTTCGGCAGCAGGTTTAGAACCTTGGAGCTTAATTTCCACACAGCCTGTAGCACTTTCATTTGGAAGTCAGCTGACCCCACTGATCAGCCTTCTGCATGAAAGTAAGCCCCCACTTCTAGAAGTGGGAGACGTTTTGTACATCCAGATGGCTCATTGGGTATTTTGCCACTCCAGCATTTGGGTTCAAGACATCCTTTTAACAGACAGGTTAACCCCTTGTGTATGGCATCTCCCTCAGCTGCCCCTGATAAAATTTTTTTCCTGCTACTGCACATTGCAGTGCATCTTCCCAGGTCTTCATGGTTCCTTGCACCCTGTAAACCTGATATTCGTGTTCTAGTGGGAAAATGCCTTCGGGAGTTGTTCCCTGCATGGAACTGCACTTCTTTTTTCAGGATAATTCTATATGCTCTGCAGGGGTCTGAATTTTTTTTAAAAAAACTACCTGTCCAAGGAATAAAGCCGAGGCCCGGAACTACTTGTCCGCCATGACAATCTACTTGTCCTGATAAAAATTTTTAATTTTTTACCCAAAACCGTATTTAGCAGTGCTTAGAAGAGCTTCTCATTGGTCAGCGCCATCCGGTGATCGCGCTGACCAACGAGTGCTTGCAATTTGAGATCGAAATTCAGAATACATGGCACAGGTACAGATAGTACACCCATACTGGCGAACGTTAATGACCGTTCGCCGAAAGGCAAGTATAGTGGGAGGGAGAGGGGGCCAGATTTGTGCGGGTAATCCCATTTTTCCAAATTATTTGGGAAAGTGGATTTACCCTTTTAGGGCTGGTGCAGACTTGGGCGATCATGTGCGGTTGCATACAGTGTTTGCCATGCGGCCCCATTGATTTCAATTAGGTTACATCCGTGTATACCTTTTTTCACGACACACGCACTGCGCTGTGATTTCAACCGCGATTTTACGTGATTGCACGGGTGCAGTATTACGGTAGTGTGCGATTCCGTGACCACCCGGCCATCCGCACGGTTTCATGCACAGTTGCCGCATGGTCACACACACAATGGCCTATGCATGCGTTTATTCGCATGCAGATGGTAGAGGCAGCAGGGTTGGTTTTATTTTATTTTTTTACTTTGTAAAATTTTTAATTTTTATTCTTTTTGACTTTATCGCCTTTTTTATTTTTTACATTTTTATCTATTTCCATTTTTAATTGTTATTTTTTGACATTTGTATGTATTTATATTTTAAATTTTTATTTATTTTATTATTTTTTGAGAATTTTGTTTTTCACTTAGCAATAAAGTTATCACACAGGAGCTAACAAGCTCTCTTTGGTTCTCTCTATTGACCCTGTCACCTCCAACACAGGAGTTCTAGCACAGCGCTGTGCTCGTTCTTCTGTGACAGGATGGCTGTGAGTGCAGCTTTCCTGTCATTGCTCACACTAAGCTCTGCTCCCCCCTTCATCCTGATCTAATTTGCTGGGATTTGTTGTATTCCTCTATAGCTGCTGGTATCCTTCATTGCGCTTTATAATGTATTGCTGGGATTTGTTGTATTCCTCTATAGCTGCTGGTATTCTGCATCACGCTGTATAATGTATTATTGTTGGGATTTGTAGTCCTCTATAACCGGTGCCATTCTGCATTGCGCTGCATAATTTTACACTTTCCATTTTACTATATTGCACACCACACTTGGGTTTTTTTTTTTTTTTACTTCCACTGCTCCAAGCTTGCTCCTGTGATGGACTACAATCTCAATATAAACTAGTAGTCCATCACTGGAGCCTTTTTTTTTTAATCCGATAAATCGAACATAATAGGCTAACTGATCGATTTTGAAAAAATTGTTAGCTGCAGCCCTAAAATCCTCTAAAGTCTACACCTATCACCTGGAGATAGGTCTTTACATGGTGGTTTACCATCCTCTTAAAGATGTTCCCTCAGATCCCTTTTCCCAGTCCTGTCTTAAATCAGATGAATGTTCTTATCTGTTTAGCAAAGGTTCCTGCCCCTCTCTCCCTCAATGACTATGGATGCTTTGTTGGACCAGAGTGGGTTTGACGATTCTTAGTACCATGTTCTGGATCAATATTAGGCAGACCCTTCAGAGTTCCTCTGTTAGACTTCAGAAACACTTCAGGGTGTTAAAGTGCATGGGTCTTTTTCATCCTTCTGGTGTTCCTATGCACCAGTTAGGAGGTATGGTTTACTTTCATCCCTGCCTACCCTTCTAGGGGATACCAGTCTCAGGGGTCTTTTGGCTATCCTTATGGGGTATGACGTTGTGAGGATCTCATTTTCCTTGGCTATCTCATTTAGATTTTGGTTGTCTGACCAGGCAACCTCACTTGTCACGGAACTTTCATTCTCTGTATCTCAAGGGTTTAGTATTAGACCTGGGCCTTTTGTTTATAGACCATTGGTGTTCTCTAATGGCCCTCTTTTTAATTTTTGTCTCTGGAGACCTGTTCTGTGTGTTTGTCATACCAAGTTGTTGGTTTATTTTGCCTAAATTGGTGAGTTTTTGTCCACAGCCTCTCGCTGGTGCAGGCTCTTTTTTTGAGTCATTCCCCTTAGCAGTGATCCCTTCTGTCCTGGTATTGAGCATCAGATTGATCCTCTGTGGCCTTCCAATTGTTGGCAAATTCCCCTTTCTTGGAGGGGACTACACCATCTGGTTCAGATGGGGCATTGGTTCTTCTAGTAGCCCTGAGTTGCAGATTGTTCCTAGTCCCTCCTTGAACTTGTCAGTGGCTGTTGCCCACCCCTCAGTTGAACTGCTTTTAGATGTCCTGACTATTCCTGAATTCCTTTGTCCCTTACTGTAAAAATCTTTTTCTTGGAGTCCATTGAGAGACATATGTCCCTTCCCTCTGTGTATTTTGCTTGCCATCTGTAATGCTTTCCCACAAAACTGAGGCATGCTGGATAAAGGAGGGCTATATAGGGGGGCTGGCTAACAAATTTTCTGTTTTGCCAGTGTCCCAACCTCCTAAAGGTGGCAGTATAACTTGTTTCTGAATTCCCGTGTCCCTCAATAGACTCCAAGAAATAATTTTAGAAGTACAAAAATTGTATTATGTTTGTTTTGCGTCATTTAACCTCTTTCATATTTTTTTATTTCAATAATTTTTGAGTATTTTAGACATAACAGGTACTCAAACAAATAAGGCACAGATAAGTATCATCAGAGGAAATCGTTACAAGTATCAAACAGGATACAGTGCAACCACTAGAGGTACAGGGATCAGTGTAAACAGTAAGGACTGATCTAGTGAGGTAATGTGAGCACCTCAGGGAGGATAGAAAAGGCAGAGAGGGATGGGGGGGGGAGAGAGGGAAGAAGGATGAGAAGGGGAAAGGGTGAAAGTCGGGTACAATATGCAAACAGAACTGAGTGAATCACAACAAACAGTAAGGTTTAGTTAACCATTTATCCCAGCAATTCCGAAAAGAGGCATATTTTATGGTTTTTCTTTCATAATTTGACAACGCAGTTTAGACCTCATGTAGACTTGCCTCGTTTAGCATCTGTAAATCCCTTTCCCCTGTTTGTGGGTTGTAGTTGCAGAATTTTGCCTGCATACAAATGATGATGATGCTCAATTCTGATGTTTCCACGCCCCCCCCCCCCCCATGTCCGTTATTTTC